TTCTTCCTTCAAAGTCTTCCTCAAGGTAATCCTCTGGTTGTGGCTGCTCTTTTCCAATCTCTACTGATTACGATGCTGGGCTGGAAAAATCCAGGTTATTTTTTGGTACAAATTCTTTTATATAGCTTCTCTAATCCTTTCTGCCAGGAAGAGCTGTTTATGGTGTCAGGCCATCTTTCCTAGAGCTTCTGTTGGCTTGAGATTTACCTTGGCTCCATAGTTTTCTGGTTAATCTTCAGACATGACATTCCAGTCAAAGCCCTATCCAATAATGAGTACTTGCAATTTTTGATTCAAGGCAACATGTATTACTGAACTTACGCAGATAACCATTTGCCACAAATAAGAATACTCTCAAATATTTTTCAATTTCAGAGGAGCCAGGGAGAAAAGTTTATGTTTCTATTTAAATAAACAAATGAGAAGAAAGAACATTTGAACAAACTGATGAACCTATCGAACTTTAGTGAACAAACTCCTGAACCTATCAACAGTTCAAAAGAAAGCAAAATCCTTAAAATGGGAAAACAAAGCATAGTATAAAAAAATCAGTATTGTTTTACTCAAAAGTCATAAAAGTCTATTTCACCAGTTCAGTCTTACATAATTAATCTCTCTTCTGCAGTGTTATTGTGGTCCAATCTATCTGTTTAAATCCTGGAAGTTAACATTCAACATTATTATTGATATTTCTTGTCCCTAGCATTAAGTTGGTCATTTTCTCGGTTGCTTTTTGTTCTCTTATTTCTGTATGTGTGTCTTTAGTTTTCCTGGTAAAGCACTCCTTCAGAACTTCTTGAAGAGCTGGTCTGGTGTTGCTAAATTCTTTCAGGTTTTGTTTATCTGAGAATGCTTTTATCTTTTCTTCCCATATGAAGGATAGTCTTGCTGGATACAGTATTCATGGTTGAAACTGTTTTTCACTTAACACTTTGAATATATCCCCATTTTTCCTTGCTTGCATTTTTTCTGATGAGAGGTCTGATGTTAGCCTTATGGAATATCCTTTGAAAGTAACATGATGTCTCTCTCTTGCCAATTTTAGTATGTTGTCATTGTCTGTGGTTTTGGTCAATCTGGCTATGATGTGCCTTGGGGAAGATCTTGGGTTGATTCTCTGTGGAGTCCTTAGTATTTCTTGGGATTGGATATTTGAATGCCTCTCTAAATTGGGAAAGTTTTCCTCCAGGATTTCATGGAATAGATTATCTATGCCCTTGTTAGTTTCTTCACCTTCTGGAATACCGATTATCTGGATGTATGGGTGTTTAATGATATCCAGTATTTCTTGTATAGTATTCTCATTTGTTTTGGTTATTTTCGGTTATTTTTTCTAGGTCAGAGGCTTTGTCTTCAAGACCTTAGAGTCTATCTTCTGCATGGACTAGTCTGCTTTTAATACTTTCAAGGGGGGTTTTGATTTCCTGTATCGCAGCCTTCATCTCTAACAGCCCCATTTGATTCTTTTTTATGGTGTGTATTTCCTCTTTCAGATTGCGCAAGGACTTCCTCACCTTCTGGAACTCATTGTCTCTTTTCTCCTGCATCTTTTAGAGTTCATTGTCTCTCAGCTCTTGCATCTCATTTAGATTTGGCACTATGGATACTTTGAATTCTCTATTAGACATTTCCACGAGTTCCACTGTACTGTCTGTGGATGATGAAGGATGGAGGATTGTTCTTTCCCTTAGGGGAGAGATATTCTCTTGGTTTCTCGTATTTCTTGTGCCTCTGCAGTGATTTCTGGTCACTTGGTGACAAAATCTTTACTCTACTGTGTTTTGCAACATGCTACCCACAGAAAGATTTTGAGTTCAGATTTATAAAAAGGAGTTTCTTGGGACCAGCAGTTAGCGTAGTGGCTATGTCGCTGGACTCCCATGTAGTCGACCGTGGTTTGAGTCTTGGACCCGGTGGCTTAAACTCATGTCTGGCGCGTGTGTGTGCATGCCCAAGATCCCCGAGAGGAGAAAGGAGGAGAAGGGATTGTGGCATGGCCATCTCCCTTGGGTGGTGATTTCTTGCTTTATGTCTCTCCGTCCCTGTCTTTCTGGCGAGTACATGTGCCCTATAGCAAAACGCTCTCCAAAAAAAGGAGCTTCTTCCTTATGGCTGGAGATTCAATAAGCGTTGAGGATTTAAATGACCCTGAAAGTATTCAGATGCTTGGTTACTGTGCACCTAGGTCTGTCTCGACACTCAGCGTGTAGAGACTGTCTCAGTGTTTTTTGGGGGTCTATAAGATCGGGTTTAGAGCATAGATTCATTGCCTTGGTCCCTGAATGCACCAGGACACACTTCACATTTAAAATGGCTTCTGTCTCAGTGTCGGGGGTCTAGAAGACGGGGTTTAAAGTCTAGCTTTACTCACCTTGGTCCCTCTGGCCCCATATTACTAGGTCATCGGGGAAGTCATAATGTATTTTTTTGTTTTCCTATGAAAAAATGCATCATGGCTTTCCCAATAACCCAACATTATTATTTTTTAAAGTTTGCTATAGGGTATGTGTGCTTACCAGAGAGAGAGGGCAAATGAGAACGCAAACCACCAGGTTTGGTGCTTGAACCATGGTCAGCCATGTGAGAACCCAGAACCTTAACTACCATGCTACCTGCTGGCCACATATGTGCTCTTTTGTGTCTTGCTTTTTAACTTAGAACGGGGTTTTTGAGGTTTGTCTATGCTGTTTCATGTATCGGTATTTCATGGCTTTTTAGGGCTGAATGATATCCTATTGCATGAATATACTATTACATTTATCTTGATCTAGTTCCCCCTTTCTATAAAGTAATGTCCATTATTTAAATATATGATCATGGAAAATGGGCTTGGATTGAGAGGCTGGAGCCAGGAGACTGCGCAGGGATTTGGACCTTGGCCTTACCTTTCCCTCCTGGTAAGTAGGTGGCTTTGCCTTGGCTGAATCTGGCTTGAAAACTGGGAGCACCCTCAAGCCTGGAAGTACTGCGTTTGCCCTGCCCTAAAGGACATAGAGTGTTTAGGCTTTCCCTGAATTCCATGTTTGACACAGAAACATTCAGGCTCCTCTTACCCAGCAAGACCTACCACAGAGTCACAGAACTGTGTCCTCCGTGGGCTCTGGGGGCTGAGGATGTCACTCTGTTTCTGCTCTGGGGGCCACCTCGCCCTGCTGCCACTCTGTTCCCAGCTCAGTCAGCGTTATTGGCCTTACAAGTGGAGCTGTGAGTACAGATTCTCTCTGATTTGAGCCCAGGTTACAGTGTATCTAACAAGTCACCCATCACCACGCAGACCTGGAAGAAACCACTGCTTACATTTTAATTTATTTCATTCCTTCCTTTTCTTTTTTTTTTTGAGAGAATTTTTTGTTTGGCTGTTTTTGTTTTGTTTTTGTTTTGTTTTTGCTATAGGGCGTGTGCGCTTGCCAGACAGAGAGAGACAGAAAGTGAGAAATCACCCCCCAGGGGGGATGGCCACGCCACAATCCCTTCTCCTCCATTCTCCTCTTGGGATCTTGGGCACGCACGCACACGCGCCCAGCGTGAGTTTAAGCCACCGGGTCTGGGACTAGAACCATAGTCGACTACGTGGGAGTACAATGACATAGCCACTACGCTAACTGCTGGTCCCCATTCCTTCCTTTTCTATATGGCACATGTACATTTTAAAAAACTGGGATCATACTGCACATAAAGTTTTAAACAGTATATTTTTCTCTAATTATATTGCAGACACTTCCCCATGTCAGTGATAATATACCCAAGCCAAGGTTTTTAGCGGCTGCCATGTAATATGTACTAATCTAGCCTGCCCCCTGTTGTTAGACATGCGTTTGTTTCCTTTGCTTTTGTGTTTATTGTCTCACTGTGATCGAGAAGAGTACGAAGATCACGCTAAGCAGAAACCTTGGCCTACATCTCTGAGCATTCACTTAGGATGGTGCCCTACAAGCGGCATTGCTTAGTCAAATGGAATGTCCTTTTCAAGGGTTTATGATCTATGCTTCCAAATCACCCCTCGAAAAGTTTATCCTGGGCCGGCAGGTGCTGTGGAGGTTAAGGCAACTGGATCCCACATGGCCGACTCTGCAGTCCAAGTCTAGACTTGGTGGTTTGAGAATCACGCCAGACATGTGCATGCATGCCCCAAATCCCAGAAAATGGAGGAGATGGAATTGCTGTGTGGTCATTCCCCCGGGGTGGGGGTGATTCCTCACTTTCCCTCTCTCTGTTTCTCCTCTGTCTCTCTCCAGTGAGCACACATGCCCTGCCACAAATTTTTAAAAATTGGGAGACTTGACAAAATTGAAAAAGTCTTCCATCTACTATCATCATCATTTCACAGATTTGACTCCAGAAACCGTAGGATGGTCACAGACCCAGAAGAAAGCACAGGCCAAGTGTGGTGTAAGTTTTGCTCAGCAAAGTGCTCACGCCTCAGCCTTGCCTACACAACAAGCCCTCAGTGTGCTCTAGGCCAGAGTGTTTTCATCTAGGAGTCACCCCTGGACCATGCTCAGGAGCCATAACATGCACCTCGCTGTCTTTCCTCCCATACTCCCCGCTGTGGCCAGTGGGTCCCTGAGGCTCCCCTGCAGTGGGCCATACCCCCAGAGACCACCTATCTTTTAGATAAGGAAACAGACTGCTCTGATGGAAGGAGTCTGGGTTTGTGGCTACCGACTGTGCACCTTGGGTAGCATGCCCCCCTCTCCATAGCACCCGCACGCAGACAGCTGTTCACTAGCATGGTAGAAAGCTGCTCACCCTGTTTTCCAGAGTGAGACGAGATGCTTGCTGCCGGAAATTACTCTTGACTTCACTTTCAGTTTCAAATTGTTTCTGCAGGTGCTCGCTGGCCTCCTGCATTTCTTGAATCTTATCCATCAGCTTCTCTTTCTCTTTGGCATGTATTTCATTTTGCGCTTCTATGGCTCTGTGAGAAAGAAAGAGGGACTTTGGTATAGGTTGGACTGTCCTGGAGAAGTCACTCCTTGTCATAGCGAGTGCTGATATTCCGAAGGTGGGGAAACACTTCGGCCAGCTTTCGGGTAAGGCAGTTAGTACCTCCATAGAGGGCCCGTTGCAGGGGAGAACTGGCTGGGGTAGAGATGTCTGTGGGCTGCTCTAGCCTCCTTCGCCTGAGAGGACATTCCACCTCTGCCCACCCTGCGCCCTCAGTTCACTACTCCCATGGACATCCATACCCACCCAATACCCTTTCACCAACAGCACAGTGATAGCCTCCTCCATAACCAGCCTGAAAGGGCACAGACGCTCAGGAAGTCAGGGACCAGGAAGAAGAGGGAGCCTACAAGACCTCCAAGGCGCTGTCTCAACACTCTTTTCTTACTTCTCCTCTTCAGTCCTGACCCTGCTGACACAACTGAACATACTCTTGGGGATCTAGAGAGTCTATTTATTGTTCTGAAAAATGTAATGTCTCCACAAGTTCGCAGCAATACAAAGTACCAGGCTCCACCAGGACGACAGGCCCTTCATTGATCAGGATGAAAATTTGAGGGGATTAGTAATGAAGATTTTTCTATCAACCTTATTTATTTATTTTTTTTAGGTTTTTGTTATAGGATATGTGTGCTCACAAGAGAGAGAGAGAGAGAGAGAGTGAGAACTCACCCCCTGGAGGGATGATTATGCCTCAATCTCTTCTCTCCTAGTGTCCTCTTGGGATTTGGGGCATACACGCACATGCCCCTGGTGTAACTTTCATTTTTAGATTTATTTATTTATTTTAATTTATTATTATAGTCATTATTTTAATTCGCCAGAGAGACAGGGAAAGTGAGACAGCCAAGTCCAGGACTTAAATTGCGGTAGGCCATGTAGGAGTCCAACACCTCAACTACCACGCCACCAGCTGCTGGCCCCAGCCCTGGTGTAATTTTCAAGCCACTAATTCTGGGACTTGAATCGCACAGCCGGCTATGTGGGAACCAGGCCTTAACCTCTCCGCTGCCTGCTAGCCTCAACATGGGTTAAATTATTATTTTTTTCTTTTTTTGGAGAGGTTTTTGCTATAGGGCATGTGTGCTCACCAGAAGGAGACAGAGAGAGACGGAGAGACAGAAAGCAAGAAATCACCCCCCAGGGGGGATGGCCACACCACAATCCCTTCTCCTCTTGGGATCTTGGGCAGGCATGCACACGCGCCCAGCATGAGGTGAAGCCACCAGGTCCAGGACTCGAACCACGGTTGACTACATGGGAGTCTAGTGACATAGCCATTACACTAACTGCTGGTACCAACATGGGTTTAATTCTAACCTTAAACAGTCTGCTAATAAAAACTCAGTTCTCTCTCCTATCATCTTATTGTATCCATCTTTTGAACAGATAATCCATGTGTGCGTATAACATTCCAAAAGCTTATATGGGGACAAGTAAGTCTTCTTCACTTCTCTGTGCCAGTCACCATGTCACCTGGCTCAGAGGTAACCAATGTTTTACAATCTCCCAGAGATACATGAGTGTGTGTGTGTGTGTGTGTGTGCGCGCGCGTGTGCACACGTGGGAACACAATATATTTCTTTTCCTCCCATTTGAAAGGTGACAGATCAGCTAGGTTAATTAGCATCTTGTTTTTGGGCTCAGTTGCATTCTTGGTGTAGCCTACCATTTCAGAAAAGGGAAGCATGGTGTGAGTGTGACTGAAGCTCACACGTGCTCACACGTGCTCACACTTACTTTCTTTGTGTTCCTTCCTCTTCCTGATTGCGACTTAACTGGAGAGACAACTCTTCCAGCTTTCCTGTAATGAGAGGACCTGTCAGTGCGTCGGGGGACTGGATCGCTGTGTTCTGATTTGGTTTGGTCTTGTTTTCAGTTGTCAGAGGTCCTAAATGGTATTTACTCACACTTTAGGTTTTGTTTGGTCTGAGAAATATTTAAAACCTTTTTAAACTCTTATGTTTAAATTGTAATTTTTCACATAAAAATCTGGGTTTCTAGATAAAAAAAAAAAGATATCTAGCAACATGGGGGCACATCCCCATGGCAACAGTCAATGAAGCGCGGAGGCCGCTGCCCCTTAAATGCCCCAGCACCTCACCCTCCAACCAGCCATTCTCACCTTTGTGCTGTCTGCCTGACCCCGGGAGCGGCAGAGGTTAAAACCCCCTTTTCAATGTATGCCATTTCCCAGGTGCAGCAAATGTTTCTAGAAGCAGGGTCATGAGGGCTTTAGTTACCTTTCATTTTCTCGGTTTGTTCATTCAGGCGGATTTCAAGATCTTGCTTCTGTTTCTCAAGTTCAGAAATTTGCTGTTTAAAGTCTGGGATCATCTTTAGGGAAGAATTACAAACATCAGAAGATGAGGTACTTTCATCCATGAGCTTGCACACCTCAGAAGCAAACGAAGCTGTCCAGGTGTATAGGGCAGACAGATGCCCCTCGATTTACAATGGAGTTATATCCCGATAAACTCATCGTAAGTCGAAAGTATCCTAAGTCAAAAATGCAGTTTATACACCCACCCTAGTGAGCATCATAGCTTAGCCAAATATATACATGAGCCTATAACTGGGAAAAATCATCCAGCTAAGGGAGGGGCCATGGAAAGCAATGCGGAAGCCTCTGTGGTCCTGGCCAGAGATGTCATGCCTCATCCAGAAGTAGGAAAACCCGTCCTCACCAGGGTCGCAGTGTGTCTCCCCAATTCCCAGCCACACACTACTATGTTAGTGGAAGCCTGGGATCGTCTTAGAAATACAGATGAATCATAAAATCATGATGTCTATTCTTGACTATCTGTATCATTTAAATGTCCTTTACCTCCACCCACCATCAGGTAAAATCAGTTGCCCAATGGGACCAGCAGATGGTGTAAGGGTTACGTTGCTGGATTACCAGGTAGTCAACTGTGGTTTGAGTCCCAGACCTGGAGACTTAAAAGTCACACTGGGCACGTGTGCATGTGTGCCTAAGATCCCGAGAGGAGAATGGAGGAGAGGGGATTTCAGCATGGCCATACCCCTAGGGGGTGATTTCTTACTTTCTGTCTCTTTTTCTGGTGAGCGTACATGCCCTATAGCAAAAAATCTCTCTTAAAAAAAAAAAAATCAGTCGCCAAAGTTTATAAACACACCCAGGCCTCTGAAGTCCCAATCTTTGAACTTGCCTTTGCAACTGACTCTCACTGCAAATTCCTCATTAAAGTGTCACCCAAGGAATAAACAAAGATGTGGAAGTCCTTAACTACTCTTGGCATGCCCACTTTATGTCTCCTCACCTGTTGACACAGCCCCGAGATTTCCTGACACTCGCAGGTGAGGCAGAAGAGGAGACAGTGAAGAAGCTGAGAAGCAGCGGTCAGGGGGGAGATGAGAAACCTGGGAAAGCATGATATCCTGAAAGCCAAGAGAACAAGCAGAAAGTAGAAGTGACTCATGCCACCGAGGCTGCTGAGACACGGAGAGGACAGTGCAGACAGACCCTGTGTGCTCAGCTCCCTGCAGGCAGGTGTAGCTAGTACCGGGGCACATGACAGAATGGGGTGGGCGGGAATGGGAGGCCAGAGGAGAGAGTGTTTATTTGGCCTTTGATAACTCCAACCAAATCTGCAAAGAAAGAGGATGAAGGCCACAGGGGAGGCAGCATTAAGGGATGTTTTAGGGCCAGCAGGTGGCACGGTGGTTAAGGTACTAGAATTCCACATGGCCGACCGAGGTTCAAGTCCCAGACCTGGCAGCTTGAAAATTGCACTGGGCGTGTGTGCATACATGCCCAAAATCCCAGGAGGAGAGTGCAGGGTGGAGAGACTGCGGCATGGCCAGTCCCTCTGAGGGGGCGATTTCTCACTTTCCCTCTCTCTGCCTCTCTGGTAAGCACACATATCCTATGGCAAAAACCTAAATACAAAAAAAGAAAGGGCTATGTTTTGAGTGAGGAGATTCCTAAAATATTTCTCCAAGCAAGACATGAGTCAAAAAATAAAGGATGAGGCAAATGTGGGGGGTTATGAGGGCCCCACAGAACAGGAAGTCCTGGAAAAGACAGGATTTGGAGCCAGTGTGGAAGGACTGAGCTTCTGAACATAGGTCCCTCTAGAGCTACTCTTACCACAATGTGAGGGTCATTTTCCACGGGGCTGGATTTAAGCACACAGATGAAAAAGTAGACACGCTCACAAGCACACACCAGATCACGGAGTTTGGACCCACCCTCTGGGAAACAAGCACTCTCCAACTGGAGTCCCCCCCAGGCGGGAGTCACTGTACAGTTTCCCTTCTGGCCCGGTTATTTCACTCCCAGAAAGCCATTTATGCCCATCGTCCTACTGCCGAGAGACTGCCTGTTACTCCACCAGTGGGCAACGGCTCTAGAATAATGGCCCTGGCGAGGCCACGGCTGGGACCATACCATGTTTTCAGACGTCAGCCTGGTAACTTCGTGACGGATACTCTCATTGATGTCATTCTCTTCTCGGAACAACTTCTGCAGGTGGTTGATTTCCTGACTTAAATGTACCACTTTGAAGTTCAAAGCTTCGATCTCCTTTTCGTAGCCATCCTTCTGGGACTGGAAATGGCTCTCCAGAACACTGGCACAGGAGGGGTGGGGAGATAAACCACACAGTCTTTATGCCACGCGGCTGACGACTGTGAGGGTGTCTATGTAAGACCCACGGGAGGGCCATACACTACGGACATAAAGCTTACTTCGGGACACATAGTTACAGGCTATGGAACTAGAAACGCAGCACTGTAAAATCTTTCCAGCTAGCTAGGAAGTAGTACATGCAGTTAACGAGGAAAACTTGGTCTTAGAAGTTATTAAAATGATACTTCTATTCTCTTAGTAGTTTAAGAAACAGGTTTTGTCTGACGCTATAGTTGTGTACACATGTTCTTACACATTTGTCAAAGCCCATAGAATGTACACTAAATAAACCCTAGTGGAACCTACAGGCTTGGAGTGAAAATGTGTCAGTGTGGGTTCATGGATGACAATAAGTGTTCCACTCTGATGTAGGATTTGGACAGCAGACGAGGCTGTGTATGGGGTGATGAGATATATGGAAATACTTTATTTTCTGCTTAATTTTGCTGTGGATCTAAAACTAAAAAAAGTTTATTAAAGAAACGTAGCAAACTTCCTCAATTTAAATATACCTACTATACCCTTTAATGTATCTACCTACATATCTATAGAAATGGCTAATTTATTTGATATAATCAGTTTTCATTGTAGAGCTTATGGGTTTTATTAGTAGGTAATTTACCCCATAAAGCAATTTCTTTTCATTACTAAAGTAATTTCTTAATTCTTGGAAATATTTCCAGCGATTACTAGGTCGTTCTGTTGTACAGAATTTGCTTTGTGTTTCCAATCTATATAAGATAAACTTTTTTTTTTTTTAATTTGCTAGAGGGCATGGGTGCTCACCATAGAGAGAGAGAAGGAGACAAGAGAGAGGGAGACAGAGAGAGAGGGAGTGAGAAGAAGGACCCCTCCTTCCCCCAAGGGCACATGGTCCTGCTACAATCTTTTCCACCCCATTTCTCCATCTGACTGGGATTTCTGGGATCTGAAACACATGGCTGGCCACGTGGTCTCCAGTGACCATAACGTCTAGGCCACTGGAGCCCGCGAGTGAGAAAAACTTCTGATTTTCTAATAATCTATTACCTCTAAAAATAAAAAAAAGACAAAAAGACCTCGAGGGGAATCTCTAACCGTGTTGCTTTCTTTAGTCCTTCATAAGCGAACCAAAGTTCTCCATCCTCATTTAAATGTTCCAAATCTTCCACAGAGAGCCTGGAAAGTAAGGAAGATAGAAACATCGATGGCTTCTCTCCGGTTTTGCACGTTTTAAAATATTTGATAGTGCGAAAACGTTTACCTGCTTCTTACGTCTTCAATGTCGTAGCTTTCGAGAAGCTGTCTGGTGATCTCCGACATCTTTTCTGAGCGGGAGAAGGCAGAGCTGTGCACATTACATTTGCGCTCGGTTCCTCTTCTCCCGTTTCCTTCCTAGAGCTGTTTTCTAGCTTCACTCAGTCTCCAGCTAAGTAACAGCTCCCGAACCACCCAACGAACTAACCTCCCAGCTAGCCCACCACCCTACCAACTAATCAACCACACTCACACCCTCAGCGGTGACCACCCGTGAGGAATTCAGCCTGCACCCCATGGCAGAGTGACATGCTCTTGTTACCTCTCATTTCCCGTTTTTGTGATTGGACGTGTTTCTCCACGTCTATCTTCTGCGTCTGAAGTACTTCTATCTCCTTTTCAAACTCCGAGATTGTCTGAATCACAGCAATGACCAAATTAATGAAAAAAAAAAAAGTAATGATTACACTTTACATCAGATAAAGGATCACCATTACGGCACAGGGCACATTCATGCCAGGCGCTCTTACGCTCTTTTATGTTCAGAACGCTGTTCCACATTCCCAGAGCTACTTGGCCTCATCAATAGAATAGTCTGTATTACGTAAAGGCTGAGGGGCTGTGTATGAGGTAAGGGCGGGGGGCCTGCCACTCTGTGCAGAGTGGGGCGGAGAGGCAGGAAAGCCCAGAGAAGCAGAATCACAGGGCCTGACATCTTCTTTCAATGGATAATAAAACTCTGGATGCAAGAATGCTTTGGCTCCAGCCGGGCGTGGGTGTGGTGCACAGGCAGAGACAACATGAGTTCAAGAGAACCAGGAGCTGGGGGACCAGCAGTCAGCATAATGGCTATGTCTCTGAACTACTATGTAGTCAACTGCAGTTCGAGTCCTGGACCCAGAAGCTTAAACTCACACCAGGTGCGTGTGTGTGCGTGCCCAGGATCCCGAGAGGAGAATGGAGGAGAAGGGACTGCAGCATCGCCATCCCCCCTGGAGGGTGATTTCTCGCTTTCTGTCTCTCTGTCTCTGTCTGTCTGGCGAGTGCACGCACCCTATAGCAAAAACGTCTCCAAAAAAAAAAAAAGAGAGAGAGAACCAGGAGCCGGCCGCTGGGGAGGAGGCCGGGCAGCTCTGGCTGTGGGGAAGAGGCTGGATGTGCCTGTGTTTACCCTGGGGGCTCAGCTCCAGTAAGCAGCGTAGGTGTGTGCTTTTGTAGCTGAAGGGGACATCAAGACTTTCAGAGACAGCAGAGGTGATGAACCTGCCTCCATATTCTCAGTTACTCTTATTTTTTTTTTTTCCTTGCTATAGGGCATATGCACTCGACAGAGAGACAGAGAGACACAGGAAGTAAGAAATCACCACCTGTGGGGATGGCCATGCTGCAATCCCTTCTTCTCCATTTTGCTCTAGGGATTACAGGAAGTAAGAAATCACCACCTGTGGGGATGGCCATGCTGCAATCCCTTCTTCTCCATTTTCCTCTAGGGATTTTGGGCACACACACACACACACACACACACACACACACACACAAGTCTAGGGTGAATTTTAAGCCTCCAGGTCTAGGACACAAAACTCATTGGACTGCGTGGGAGTCCAGCGACGTAACCATTATGCCATCTGCTGGTCCCTACTTAGAATTGTTTTTTTTTAAGTTTTTTTTTGGAGAGCTTTTTGCTGTAGGGTGTGCGCTCGCCGAAAAGAGAGAGAGAGAGAGAGAGAGGCAGAAAGTGAGAAATCATCCCCCTGGGGGATGTCCACGCAACAATCCCTTCTCCATTCTCCTCTCAGGATCTGGGGCACACATGTATACGTACCCTGTGTGAGTTTAAGCCACTGGGTCCAGGACTCAAACTGCAGTCAACTACATGGGAGTCCAGCAACATGGCCATTACACCAAATACTGGCCTTCTTATTCAGAGTTTTTAAGGGCTACGGCTCCTGTTCCTACAGAGGGTAAGGAAGAGGTGAAATGACAATTATCAAGCACTTTACGCCAATGACATAACCCTTCTTCCAGACCACTAAGATGAGAAAGATGATGCTTCACAGATTAGGTGACTGAAGCTCTGTTTAACAGGTTACAAGGCACGTTCAGGATCACATGCGAAGTTTATGGGACCCCAAAGCCCGCCTCCTCTTTGTTATGTTTCAGTCAGTATTCCAAGTCACGCTACTTAGGTTTTTCTTTTTTAAATACTGAACAGATACACGGGGCCAGCAGGTGGCATGGTGACTAAAGGCAGTGGATTCCCACATGGCTGATCATGGTTCATGTCCTGGACCTGGTGGCTTGCTTTCTCACTTTCCCTTTCTTTCTCTTTGTGTCTGTCTGGGCAAATTGAAAACAAACAAACAAGCAAACAAAAACAAATGGTATTAAATAAATTTTTAAAATTAAAAAAAAAAACATTGAACAGATACAATTTAATAGCTGTAGGTCACTTCCTTTCAAAACCAGACTTGTCTCCTTAATATTATCACATTGGAGAGTTTTGTTTGTCCTTTTAAAGTTTATTCACCTATTTCTTCCATGAGTGAGGAAGAGGCAGAGACGGAGACAGCAGGACAGAGAGTGTGCCCACACACGGCCTGATGCTTCAGTCCACCCACCTTCAGCCAGTCTAGATCAGAGGCAGACACGGGCCTGATAAATTCAGGGAAGACTTTAGAAATGAGCTGCGGATCTTTCACATCGGAGAGTTTGAACCAGCGTTTGCTGCCAACGGGATGTGAGTGACACCTACTGACGCCTGTTCCAAGTACAGTCTCATGGTTTACCGAATTCCAGGTACGGACGTCAGCTAGATGGCACAGGTGACACAGCCGTACCTGACTGCTGAGAGCGAAGCAGTTTCAGGACTACGTGGCTGACCGGGACTCTTCCTGGTCACCATGGTCTTGTCCCATCTCCTACCTTTCGACGAGAGCACACTGGGGCCCAGAGAGCACGCGCACATGCTGTGAAGTTCAGAGCTACCCAGTTGTGATCCCAGGGGATGGCTATTCTACGACAATGATGGAGAACACAGGTAGTCTTACAGGTGCGCTACTAATACGTGACTCGCATGTTCAGTGGAAGCCTAAAAGCTTTCTAACTTTACAAAAAAATGGTTTGCATTTAAGAAGATAGGGACATACAGGTTTAAGTTTTCTGATAAGAAAACAATTCAGTTAAACTTTAACTGTCCAAGCATAGATCACTGCTTTTATTTATATGTTCATTTTTAATTTTATTTTTCTCAAGGGTTTTTTAAATGAAATTGTCTGGGAATATTTATATGTTCTTATAATAAATGCAGCTAACGACTAGTATTTTTGTGTATAACAAGGTAATTTAAAAACTTCTACTAGGCGGAGCCAGCAGGTGGCGTAGTGGTTATGGCACTGGACTCCCACATGGCTGACCGTGGTTCGAGTCCCAGACCCAGGGGCTTGAAACTCACACTGGGTGTGTGCACGTGCATGCCCAAAATTCCAGGTGGAAAATCCCTGGGGGGTGATTTCTCACTTTCTCTCCCTTCATCTCTCTCTGTCTCTCCTACAAGCACATGTGCCCTATAGTGACAGAAGATACACATGCTTGCCTGAGAGACACAGAGAGAGAGAGAGAGAGAGGGAGAGAGAGAGAGAGAGAAGCACCTTCCTGCCCCCCCCCACACACACAGACACACACCGTGAGGGATGGTCACACCACAGTCCTTTCTCCTCCATTTCCTCATCCTGCTGGGATTTTGGACATGCATGCACATGTGCCCAGTGTGTTTTTCAAGCTGCCAGGGCTGGATTTGAACTGTGACTGGCCACGTGGGATCCAGCTTCCTTAACCAGTAGGCTACAAGGCTGGCCCTCTCACAGCTTTTTTTTTTTTTTTTTGAGAGATTTTCACTGTAGGGCGCGTGCGCTCGCCAGACAGACAGAGAGAGAGAGAGAGACATAGAGACAGAAAGCGAGAAATCCCCCCCCAGGGGGGATGGTCATGCCGTAATCCCTTCTCCTCCATTCTCCTCTCGGGACCTTGGGCACGCATGCACATGCGCCCGGCATGAGTTTTAAGCCACCGGGGCCGGGACGTGAACCGCGGTTGACTACGTGGGAGTCCAGCGACATAGCCATTACGTTAACTGCTGGTTCCCATCTCACAGCTTTTTTAAGTAAAAAAAAAGAATACTTTGTAATTTGATAATACATTGTATATATTTAAGGGTATAAGGCTATGATTTATGAATATGATTTGGAATAATTTAATCAAGCTAATTAGCATAGCCATCACCTCAAATACTTGTCATTTTTCTGTGCTGAGGCCATCTGAAATGCACTCTCAGTGATTTGGACATGTACAACACCTTGTTCCTGACCACATTCGTCACGCTGTGCAATGGATCACAGCTTTTGTGAACTTTCTGATAACGCTTTAAGTCGAAAATGTGAATAAGGTAATTTAATTTTTAAAATGATTCATTTTTATTTACCATTATTATTATTTTTAAGTTCTTCTACAGAGAGAGGGAGAGAAAGTGAGAAAGTGAGAAACAAGCTGCCAGGTCTGGGACTTGAACTGTGGTCAACCATGTGTGAGTCCAGTGCCTTTAGCCACCACGCCACCTGCTGGCCCCCCAGTAATTTAATTTTAATACAGGCATCTACATATTTAATTTGCAAATATTCCCTAAGTCAGCATACTTATGGACCTTCATATAAAGTAATTTCAAAAGGATGAGAAAGGTCTTTTTTTTTTAATTGCCAGAGGGCACATGTGTTCAGTGTGCTCACTAGACAGAGAGACAGAGTAACAGAGAGAGAGAAAGAGAGAGAGAGGGAGAGAATAGAAAAAAGCACGCCCCGGTGGGGCATGGCCCTGTCAGGAATTCTGGACATGCACACGTGTGTACTCTGTACATTTTTCAGGCCACAAGGACCAGGATTGAACTATTGCTGGTCATGTGGGATCTGACTCTCTTCAGCACGAGGCCACAGGCTGGTCCTGAAAGCCGACTCTAATACAGTAAAGACAATTATTGTCAAGCCAGCTGCAGTCTGGGGTTCACGCTTAGAAGAACTGAAGGGCGGGCCTTGCCTTTGCCCTTTCTACAGTGTGCTTCACTGTCCTATCTGCGGGAACATGGAACACAGACCTGCTGTCCCTCATACAGGTCACATGACGAAGAAGGGGGCAGGCCTGAAAGTGCCAGGCAGCTCTACCTTGGCCTGCTGGCGCAGTCGGGCCACCTCCCCCTTCAGGCCTGCGGCGGTGACCCGCTCCTCTTCCATCTCATACTGGAGTTGCACCTTCTCCTCCTTGAGAGCTTGAATTTCTTCTTTTAAAGACTGAATCTGCTTCTCGTAGTCCTGTGTTTTCAGTTCGAAACTTTTTTCAAGAAGCCTAGGTGGCAAAATAAGAAAAACAATAACACTTCAGAATGTTTCTATAACCTTCACTTTGAATTGGAATAATGCATCGTTTTGAAAATAATGAGAGGAGATTCTGGAAAGAGGAGACAGAACTATTTTCCCAGGACTGCGTGACAGTTCAGTGGACAATGGGCTCATTTTTAGCAGACTTTCCTGGTCCCCTGGGTTAAAGGCAACTTACTTTTGCCCTCTGATCTGAGAGGCATGGCTCTACAATGATCATGCTGGAAGACACTTTTACTCAGAAGGCTGAGGCCACATGGGAGACTTGGGTTCGATTTCCAGCCCATCCTAAAAACTGGGCGTGGTGGTATCTGTAGTTCCAGCACCGCAGGAGGCTGAGGCAGGAGGATCACCACATAATGAGACCATGTTAAACCAGACTGGCCTGATGGCCCAGCAGGTGGGTACTCTTTGGTGGAAGCTGGATCCCACAGGGCCAAGCAGGGTTCAAGTCCCACCCCATCAGCTTTAAAAACACACCGGGTGTGTGTGCATGTGCTCAGGATCCTGATGGAACAGAGTTGGAGGAAAAACACTGTGGCATGACCAGCCTGTTGAGGGTGCTTCTCTCTCCCTCCCTCCCTCTGTCTCTTCTTCTCTCTTATGTGCTTGCTCCCTCTGGCATCAACAAACAAATGATCAACAACTGATGTAGGATCCTAAAACACTTTATGCATATCTGCTAACTCAGAACTCTACAGTGATACCCCTAACTCTGAGATCTTGACACTTACCCAGACCCAGGCTCTCCTGCTAACTGTGTGGGAGAAGTTCATCCCCCCACCCTAGACAGCCCTGAGACTTCTAGGCCTGTAAGAGATGTGCTGAGAACATCGCTTCTCCCCAGTACCCTGCCATAGATCCCTACTCTGAGATCTAAAAAGCTTTGAGTTGACTCCTTAAGAGAAGGGGAGCCCAGACCAGAGTCGCAGGACATCGGCAAAGGCTTTGAAGTTGAGGCAGGGTGGGGCTGGCACAGCACAGAGTCATGGAGACTTGTCTTCCTCTTTATGAGGTGGGGACATACCTTTTTTTCTGGGTCAAAAGTCAAGTGAACATGTACAGCAAGTGGGGAAAGGGAGGAAGGTTTCCTTCCTAGGCAATGATCTTAATTCCTGAACTTGGTGGAAGTTGAAGAGTAGTCTCGGAACTCCTCATGGCCTTAGCAATAAAAAGGAAAGAAGTTCCTGGTAGTCCCCTGAACCCATCTAGCAGAACATTACGGACAACCCAGAGCCTGTGAGGTGTCTGAAGCCCATACTACAGACTCAGTGCTGACAACTCTCCCGGTCTCCCCTTTGCTGAAACATCCGCAGCCTGCCCACTGTATCCAGGATCGGCTAGCAGCAGGGAAAACAGTAAGCAAAATGTAAAACACAGGAAGATAGGTGAGAGGTGGCCATAAGGGAAGCTTACGTTCTTTGTCGTTGTTCTTTCTGCACATCGTCAAAGAGTTGCTTGGTGAGGTCGTCCATTTTTTCTGTAAAAGGAGAATGTTCTTTTAAACATGCCTGTCACAATGATGCCTTGATTGTTTTATGTCATGTCCATAAAAGTGAGAATGTAAAAGCAACTGTGTGATATTTATTACTAATGGGAGTGCGTATCATGTTTTGTAAACTAGAAATAAAGATAGGGGATCTTTTGGGTTTTTTTTTTTGTTTGTTTTTGCCATAGGGTATGACAGAGTGTCAGTGAGAGGGAAAGTGAGAAATCACCCCCTAAGGGGGATAGCCATGTCTCAATCTCTTCTCCTCCAGTCTCTTCATGGGGTTTTGGGCATGCACATATGCTGGGTGTGATTTTCCAGTTGTTGGGTCCAGGACTAGAACTGTGATAACAGAAACTCTTTGGGAAGAAAATGATCGATTTATGATAGGGTTTCTTGATCTGGACACTATTACACTTTGGGTGGATCGTTTCTGTTGTGAAGAATGGACTGTCCTGTGCACTGTGGGATCTCTAATCCCTGTCAAAATAACTAAGATTTTAAAAGTAAAAATTATAAGTGCTGGTAAGGCTGTGGTGAAAAGTGAACTCTCCTACACTATTGGTGGGAATGTAAATTAGTACAGCCACTGTGGAGAATGATATGGAGGCTCCTCAAAGACCTACAAATAGAACTACCATAAGACCCAGCAATTCCAATCTTGGGTATCTACTCAAAAGATAGAAATAAATTCAGAAAAACACTTGTACATCCATGCTTATTGCAGCATTATTCATCATTGCTAGGGATCAACTCAAATGTCTAAGAACAGATGAATGGATTGAAAAAGTGTGGCATATATATACTATGGAATACTACTCAGCCATAAAAAAGAATGAGACCCTGGCATTTGATATATGGACAAATTTGGAAGATTTAATGCTAAGTGAAGCAGGCCAGACTATGAAAGAGAAGCATTGTATGTCCCCATTTAATATATACTGAATGTCTGCACTCTATGGCAGAAACTGAAAGACTGGAAGGTATAAACGTATGGAAAGCAGCTGTGGATACCAGACACAGTGTGGGAGAAGAGTGGGAAATGGAGGTTGGGAAGGAGGGAATCAAGGGGGATAAAAGGAAAACATTCAACAGACACCAAAAAATGGAAAGTTATCTGTTGATGACGGTATGTATGGTAATATCACTGATGGACTAACACACAGTGTATTCATCGCCTTGAGCATTACCTTTTAACTCTTCAGTCTTCTCTTGAAGCCTCAACTGAATCTGCTCTTTCTGTATTTCCAGTTCTGAATTATGCTTCTGAAGCTTTGCCAATTTCTAAAAAAGGGAAAGAAAAAAAGAAAACTTTTTTTTAAAGCCTTGCTTTGAGGTCGTCACCACTGCCTTTCTTGGCAAAAAGATGTGCATTCCTAAGTTAGCTGTTTCCCCCCAGCTCCTGTCCACGGGTAGCAGCTGGCACAGCCCACTGTAAGATGCTGCATTGAGCTTCATGTGCAAGGGCTCACAGCCACGTCAGAGCACAGTCTTTCCAGCCTGGCCCAGCAGTGGCTGAGACTGAGAAAAACCAATTCAAGGTCTCCTCGGTGTCAAGGAAATACCTTTCTCCTTTTCTTGAGCTTCTCAGTGGCCAGGGGAGTTTACATACTTAATATGACATCATTACGAGATTTATGATATAAAGCCGGTGTGCACTTTGACAGGGCCATGACTCAGGAGGGACGAGTGAGCACAGCCCAAGTTCTATCATTTCAGCTTCTCTTTATACAGTGCTTGCCAGGCTGGCAGTGCCAGCGGTGACGGTGCACCGGGCACTGAGCCACAGCACGGGGATGCCCCAGGTGCTCCAGGCTCCCCATCCTGGGAGCTGCAGGACTCTGGAAAGTGCAGGGCAGTCAGCGGTCAAAAAGACCACCCTCTTAGGTCACATTAGTTCACACTTGTGCAGGGTCTTGTGCGAGGCATGTGGCAGATTGAGTTCATCTGACAATTTCATCCTCACATAACTCTGTCGGTCCCTCCATTTTACATATGAGGATGCTAAAGTTTAGAGAGTCTAAGTGACTTGGCCAAGGCTGCCCAGCCAGGCAGTTGCAAAGATAAAATCTAACTCTAGAACATCTGATTTTCATGTCTACTGCCCTTTTTACTGCACCACAGACACGAAAACCTCCCCAAGGTTAGCATCGTTGTGTGGGAGGAGGTATTTCCAGAGTGTAGACCTGATAAGTAAGTGACAAAGGACCAAAATCATCCTGAAAGAGGGGGAAGCAGGCAGCCAGGGATCCTTCTGGGACCTTTCATTAGTTTGCAAAGTTGAAAGGAGAAAATCTGGGTTGCACTTCTGCAAGCATCAGCCTCCTCCTCCCTGAGACTCGAGTTCTCTGATCTCCCTTGCTGCAGAAGGCAGGCTTGCTCTGTTCATGAAGTCGGCGGCCAAAGGCAGTCTGCTCTGCAGAAATCTGCTTTACAGGGGAGTGTACAATGCTCATCTCCATGGAAGGAGTCGCTGTGTTTCTGCATTCACAAACCAGCACCTGACCTCTTCCACGGCCTCCTTGTATCTCTTCCCCTTCTCCTCGTAATGCTGCCGGTGGCCGGCTGCTCTTTCCAGCTCTGTTTCCAGCTTCTGAATCTTTTCCACATCACCGGCTCGGAGAGCGGCCAGGCTGGTCAGTTTCTCCACCAGTCCATGGTTCTCTTTGTTCTAGGAAAGAAACGTCGGAGCTGAGAGTTTCCTCCACAACAAGGAAGCCCTTCCACTTACCCCTCACAACCTCCACCCCGGCCTGAGGCTTCGGTACCCAGGTCACTTTTAGCACAACACAGGCTTTTCCTAGCAGCGTCACCAGTGAGGCAGATGTTGTGGGGTAAGGGTTTTCCTGAGCTGGTGGCTCTTTCCAATCCTGGAGCTCCAAGATAACCTGTCATGGGCTGAACTGTGTCCCCCCAAAGTCATATGGTGAAGTCCTAAAACCTAGCGACCTTGGAATGTGACTATATTTGCAAGCAGGGACTTTAAAAGGGTTAGTTTAGGTGAAATGAGGCCTGAGGGCCCTATTCCAACATGCCCAGCATTCCTCTATGAGAAGATGAGGACACAGACAATGTGTCTGTGGACATGGAAAGACAGAAAAGATGGCTACCTACAAGCCAAGGTGAGAGGCCTCAAAAACCAACCCTGCCAACACCCTGATGTGGGACTTCCAGCCTCCAGAACTGTTAGACAATCCATGTCTGTTCAAGCCACCCACCCAGTCTGTCCTCGACCCTGTGTAATGGCAGACTCGCCTAGCTACAGTGGCCCAGTAGGCATTGCTCTTGTTTGGCAGAGGCTGTTTTCACAGACTGCTCTGCACATGCTGTGTAACGAGCAGGCCGGTTACACAGTAGCATAACGAGGGATGCGATCACGCCCTCGGAATTCGTCCACTTGTTAAAGACCCCGGAGGCCTAGCTTAGGGCTTTAAAGTTTACCTTAGGAGAACTTTGGTATGATTTGAGATGGGCCTGGGAGTAAGTTTTATAGATGTGGACATGGCATAGTTCAGAGCTGTTAACACTGGCCGAGAAGAATGGATTCTGCCCCCACCACTGGGAATAGTATGGGGAACCCCAAACCAGGGCAGGCTGTGGGTAGTCTCTATTGCTCCAGTCGACACAGTAGAAAACGGCAGCTCCTCTGAGCTGAGGCAGAACTGAGCCCTGCTTGGCATGTAGATGTTGCTCTTGTCCAAGTTTAAAAGAAGGCACCCATCTCAGGCAGCGCAGCTCCACACAGGGACACGTATTTTGGCAAGTGGAGCCATACTGGGCTTCTGCCCACTTGCCTCCTTGGGCCCCTGTGCTGTGCACAGCCTGCACGGCCACACAGAGCAACTCTCTACGGTGTGCGTCTGCATTCTGGCTCAGGGGGTCCATGCACACAGTTCAAGCCTCCTAACAGGGCACAAATCTTAATGGTGTACCTACTAAGGAGCAGGTCTAGAACACACAAGCCTATGTTGAAACAAGTAGACGTGAAAGATGCCTTGTGAATACGTGAACACCTACCTGATCTTCCAACTTCTTCTGCAAGCGCTGGACCCTGTAAGTAAGTTGAATGTTGAGCACGAATCGCCGGATATTCTGGAATCTGCGTCTGGCCAACCACGCCCGTGCGTATTTCTGAAGGATCACAGCCTTGTGTTCCTCTAGCATCTGTAAAACAAGATTTTTGTAACAATTTTTTTTTTCCACTAACTCCTCCAATGTTGGGAAACCCAACTACCACAGTATACAAATTTCACATCATCATCTTAAAGGGCCCTGCCATGCCTAGATTTGGGAATACTGACTCCTCCCTGTAGCACACAGGCAAGGACGGACGCTCCTGCCAGGATTCCCTGCTCTCTAAGAAGGTCTTCATAGAGAAAACTTTGTCACTACTATTGGTGACAAATAGCACGAGTCCTGGAAAACACTGTCCCAAGAAAGCATGTGGTCTCCGCCTACCTTTCGATACCTCCTCCTTGCCAGGAACCCCCGGGTGTAGGCCTGGATGATGATAGTGGCCATGCGGATCAGCCGGTACAGGCTGCGAACCAGATACCCACGGCAGTGCTTCTGAAGGACAATGGCTGCCCACGCTTCCTTTAAGGCCGTGGCCGTGATGGCTTTCCTTGGTTAAAGAGAACGAACGAGTGAGCCTGTCAGCCACGGAGCACTGACTTCATCCTCTGTGGAGCCGCATACTTGGGCAGCACTTCCGTAGAAAGGGTTATTTGCGCATTTTACATCTCTCCACGTTGAAGGCTGTGAGTGGCTTATTTTAACGCCTGCCAGGCCAGACCCAGGCTGCCTCTCCTGGCTCCCCTGCTCTGAGCCCAGATCTGGGCCAGGCAGTGAGAAGCCATGTAGGACTGTTCATACACTTCCTCTGCAGGCCATTCGAGCCACCTGCATGCCTGACCCCATAGAGACCCTGGGAAGGAGACTGCACATTGGCTTTGTACCTGCATGTTCAGCTGCTCACTGCTCATGCGAGAAACCACGCTGGAGGCTCAGCTTGGGGGCTGGTAGGCTATGGTCTGAGGCCGAGTCTAGGTGTCAATAGCTACTGTCCAGCTTTACTGGAACCCAGCCATACCTCTTACTTACATACTGCTCAGGCTGCCTTCCGGCTACATGGCAGAAACTCCCCAAAGCCTCAAATAGTTTTTATCTGGGTCTTTACTGAAAAACTATCCGCCTCTATCTAAAGAATTGGAGGAAAGGGCAAAGTTCTTGCCTTGAGAGTTTGCAACCTAATGGAGCAGCTAAGAAGAAAAATAAAACACCCAATGATGAGACACCATGCAAGAGCACAGGGGAAGGAATAACCATCTGCTGGGAAGCGCGGATGTGGACGTTAGTCCTCATGGAACAAGAGGGTTCTCCGGATGGTGAAGGCTCGGAAAGGCATTTCAGCCTGAGAGAACAGCACAAGCAAAGGTGTGGAAGCCTACCTCACCTGAAATACTCAGAAAGATGGAATTGCTAGATTATTTTTTAAAAAGGTCAGGAAAAATGCAATATTATGAAAAAAACATGCACAGATTTCAGTAGTTTTTACACTAAAATAAACACTAATTCCATTTTTCTATGTACATTTTAAAGTTCCTTTAGGAACTTGGAGGAGTTAGTGGTCAATGAGGTTATAAAAATAGTTGAGGACCATTTAAATACACACACACACACACACTAAGCACCTACTATGGGGTAGCTTCTATGGAAACCACTGTGGTAGGCCCAAGGAATAGATGCAGTAGGAACCAGACAATCATGGTCCATTCTTTTTTTTTTTTTTTTTTAATTTGTCAGAGGCTACGTGTGCTCACCAGAGAGGGAAGAGAGAGGGAGAGAACCTCCATTGGAGGAGGTCACATTGCAATCCTGTCTCCATTTCTCCTTCCTTTTGGGATTTTAGGCACATGGACACATGTGCCCAACATGTTTTTGAAGCCGTTGAGTCTGGGACTCTAGCTGTGCAGGTGGCCACATGGGATCCAGCTACTTTAACCACCATGCCACCAGCTGATCTGAGCTTTCGTTATGGAGACACCATGGCCATGAGGACTTTGCATACCACATCGAAGATGGGACACTATTCTGCAGAAAACGCTGGGCCTTTGCAGCATTGAAGGCAGGGTCAGAGAAAAGGCTGGATCAGGCCCTGATGTGCAAAGACGCGGGGGCGATAGGTGGAGGCTGTGCTGCTGAGTGGGAGGGAACCAGAGCAAGAGTGAGAGGGCATGCGTGGGACAGTGAGTGGCAGATGGGGGCAGGACGTTTCAGGCCCAGTGATTCCTACATCAAAAGGGAATGTGGATCTGAGGTAGAAGATCCCTCTGGGGTTTCCTGCCCTGGAGAATGCTGTCATTAACTGAACCCAGAAGAACAGGAAGGCAGGCCAGCCTGGCCATGTGTGGTACATGCCACACTTGCCATCTGGAGAAGCCCACGGGCTGCTAGAGTTCTGACCTGAAGCTTGAAAGGAGCGACACGGCCTGGCCCTCAGAAACTCGCCTTCTCGGTCATGCCCACGGCCTCCTGAGGAGGGAGGCAGGCAGGGCAGACAAACAGGAACACACCTCGACCTGGGAAGGACAGCTGCCTCTCTGGCTAGCTGGCACCCCGGCCCCCTGCTCTCCACTGGTACGATAGGGCCGTGGAAAGTCTCATGATAAGTGGTCCTTTGGTGGGCTGCAGAGTCACGGTCACGTGGACTTGCAGGGCCCCTGGGGGATGGGATCAGCACAGTGGGGGGCTGACCTCTGCTCACCATTCTCTCAGGTAGAGTGCTGAGGTCCCTGCTCAGGGAAAGGCTTTGCGACTAATTTGCTGGGGAGGCCTTGCCATGGACCCCTCTGCCATGGTCCACCCCTGAGTGTGGCAGGCCGATCAGGGCTATTCTTGGTGGCTATTCTTGGCGGCTATTCTTTACTCAGAGCCTTCATGGGATGTTGCTGGTCTCAGGCACTTTCTTTTCCATGGGAAGGGCTCTGTGCCTCCACCTGGTCACATGGGCACTGCCTCTCCCCAGCAGCACCCTGGCCAGGGCTCGCTCCCGTTGGAGTCCTGGTCACCAGCTCTGCCACCAAGGGACACCAAGCAGCCAGCACCACCTGCTCCTGAGGGACGTGCCCTTCTGGCCTTGAGCCCATGAGGTCCATGGAGGGGGTGGGGGTGTTTACACACGTGGCTGTATCCGGGTCCCAGGAGAAAGGTCTCTTGTCCTTAACCGTTCTCCTCTGGACATGATCAACAAAGCCCCACAGGGGCCAGATGGTTATGTAGAACTAAAACACAACACTGTGGGGCCGGCAAGTGGCATGGCGTTTGAGGGCGCTGGACTCCCACATGGCCGACCATGGTTTGAGCCCTGGACCTGGTGGCTTGCTTTCTCACTTTCCCTTTCTCTCTCTTGCTCTGTCCTCTGGTCAAATTTAAACAAATAAACAAACAAATAAACAAACAAATAAATCAACACACACAATGCTCTGTGAGACTGGCCCACAGAGGAGGGCTCTGGGCCCCCACCTGGAGACCTCCCTGAGCAACCGCGCATGCCCATGCCCGGGGCTGCCTGAAGCTGGGGTGTAGGCTGCAGTGTCAAGACTTCATTGGGGTGCTGTCTCTTTCTTTTCGTGTGTGCCTATCTCTCTTGTTCATGGAAGAAAGAAATAAACTTTTAAAAAGGAAACAGAAATGGAAAAGAAAGCCCTGCTATTCGGTATGTCCTCCCTGATTCCAACTGACCTTACAGTTTGCTGGCCCCGGAAGTACCGCTGGATGACCAGGGCGGCTTGTCTCTCTCGGAGAAATTTCTTCCTCTGGAGCCAGCCACGGATATGCTTTTGTATCACAACACAACCCTGCCTCAGCTTATCCAGCCGGAGTTTCTCTAAATAAGCCACTTGTCCTGCTCTGAAGAAAATTTTGGTTTTACCAAACTGGTATTGATTAGAATCCTGGAAAAGAAAAAAAGACAGAATCAGAAAGAACACCTTTTGAGTTTTCTATAGTATTTGGAAAATGTGTTTAGCGATTCAAAGATTTCAAAAACATGGCCCTAGTTTGTCTGGGACACAAAGCAGAAAAGTTGTGATCATGATGTGAAAACTTATACTTGTGTAAAGCCAAGACGGAGGGAGAGGTGGACAGTAGGTTATGGAACCCCTCGGGCGGTGAGAAGGGGTGTGGGCGTCCTCGAGGGCCTCAGCAGGGCTGCTGGAGAGCCACGTCCACTCTCAAGTGGTTTCCACAGAGGAGCTGCAGAAGCTGGAGAAGTCTGGTACCTGTCCTTCATTGCGGTTCTCCGAACACCCCATGTGCTGGCCATCATGGCCTCCCCATCTCTTCACCATAACGTAACCCGTCTTCCCAGCAGTCTCTAACCCACGGGGAGTGCGTGCAGCCCACGTGGCCCGTAGCCAGCTCTGCAGACCCTACTCTCTAAATGCCAGGGCTGTGGGAGGCTAGACTAGGTCGTGGGAGAACAAAGCGGGGCGGGACACTGGAGGAAGCCAAGGCTAGAATTTGGGTCCCCCCAGGAGACCCCTGTTATCAGGAGCTCACGCCCCAGTGGGCGGGTCTGCTGGTCTCTTTTGCACATGCACACTCAGGCCCATTTCTTCTTCTTCATGTTCATGACAATCGCAAGCCTGAGACTCAGGCAAAGAGGAGCTTGTGGTCCAGGAGGTGAGGGACACTGACCTGGATGAGCCTGTGTAGAACCACCTTGCACACCTCTTTTTTGTCACTGAAGGAAAGCTCTGGCTTGGTCATGAGAATGCCGTAGCGACTGTAGAACTCGATGTATGTCCACCTGGAAGAGCAGGGAGGGAGGTAAGCCAGGTGAGCAGAGGAAGCCATTGTGTCTGGGACCCTGCTGCCCTACCTGCCACCACGGTCAGGGGTGTGAGGAGATGATGGCACTGCCTTTGGCTCCCCTGCCCTGACGCTTCCAAGACCATGCTGGCATGTTTTGGTTGACATGCTCCCCCAGCGACTGTCCTGTTCCTCCCTCTCGGCTTTCCTCCTCAATGTACTGGCGAGGCAGTGGGGACTGTCATCAGAAACGTGAAGACAGGGTGGTGGTGGTGGCCTCCGCCCTGCACACAACCTATTCCTGACCTTTCCACAGGACAGTGGGAGAAAACTTAGGAGCATCGTACAGAAGCCAAAAGTCCGAACAGAACTCATGGCAGCCACTCTCTTGATTCATGGCCCAGGCCTGAAGTTAGACATTTTTCCCCAAAGCAAGGACTGACAACGTACCTGGAAGGGTAACTCTGTGCACTGATGCGAATCGTTTCTAAAACCCCGCAGGCTCGCAGCTGCTGAACAACTCTTTTGGAGTCAAACCTGAAGAGGATGATTTTATGATGTGTTAGGGCATCACACTTGATAAAGATGCCTATGAAGAGGCGTGGCACGTGCTCCCAGGTGGCAGGAGCCAGCCTCGTAACCCCCATGCCAGGCACACAGCAGATATTTCCTAAGCAGCTGTTGGATGTTCAGGGAAATCGCCTCTGAGAGCCCAGAAAGCTGAGTGAACATGTGGAACAACTGCCTCTGAAGGAGGTGACAGGGAGAAAGCTTTGGCCTTTGGGAAGAGCAACCAGCGGGAAGGAAATGCTCATGCTTGCATGGTCCACGCACCCACCCGATGCCTGAATTTCTTTCAGAAAATACTCAGCAGGGCCATCCCTGTAGCCTAGAGGCTAAGGAAGCTGGATCCCATAGGGTTGACTGTGGTTTGAATCCCAGCCCTGGCAACTTGAAAAATATACAAGGTACATGTGTGTACCTGCCCCACACCCCAACGGGACAGAAAAAGGGAGAAGGGAATGCAGTATGACCACACCCTGTGAGGGTGCTTTTGCCCTTTCCCCTTCTGTCTCTTCCTCACTCTCCAGTGGACAGCACAGGCCCTCTGGCAATAAAACAAAAACAAAAATCACCCAATAGGTGGCCCTGTGGCTTAGGTCTAGCCCTTCTGGTGAACACAGACATTCATCACCCCTCATTGATAGCATATACCCCTTTAGGTACCTGTTTGAGCTCTTGTCAGCAAAAAGGGATTCTCTACCACCTATACTCAAGGGTTTAGGGTTTCCTCCATGGAGCCTCAGAGGCACATCGCATCCCATGTGTGAGGACGAACCTGTGGATCTCCTGCAGCCTTCCTTTTACACACACAAGCCCTTCTGTCATCCCGTAAGATGTCCTTGCTCTCGCAGATGCATGAACTTCCATTGTCGGCTGTTCTTTCAAACCTCTCCCCTTTGCCTACCCCTGAAGATGAAGTGGCCTAGCCAAAGAGTTTATGCTAACTTCATAAAAGGCAGTATTGTTTTGAATCATTTAAAAACCCAGAAACAGAGGAAAGTTCAAGACAATTATAAGCTAATTCTCCAACAGTGTAACAGAACATGCTTCCCCAGTGTTTCCGTTTCCTGTTGAATGAGCACACTTACTCGAAGGGCAACTTCTCATCGTTCGGCTTGATGCATCGGACGTAGTGAGGCGTCGTCGCGTTGAGTGTCTCCATGAGCAGGTACAGAGAGCTGCGGAACTAAGGAGCAAGGCCAGAGGTCAAGGGTTGTTTTGAAATAATTTAATATTTAGGGCAAGGTGGAAAGAAGCCTAGCTTTAGTAAGTTACTCAGTAAGAAGAAAAGTTAACTTCACGCATAGACAATTCTTGAAGCTTCAATCCACACCTGTGCTTGACGAGCACGTCTTAGTGTTCCGGACAGACATTGCTCTGTGTCAGCAGCAGACCATTTAGTAAATCATGGGATTATACGAAGGTGTGGTTTGCCCAAGGGTGTGCTGCCTTAGGGGTTGAGGAGTGACAATGAACTCTCTGCATCTGTGTGTACACTGGATTTGAAGAGTCCCAGTGTCTGTGTCCAGGCCTGGAATGTGGCTCCCTGGGGTCTGGCCCTGCCCTGAGCCCCACACCCTCCAACCCCACCACGGTACCTTGCTCCCAACTGTGGTCCGGAAGTGCTTGTTATTTGGCTTGATGATCGGCTTTGCAGATTTAACTGTGATCAATGAACTGAAAGGGGAAGAAGGAACTGGATTTTCTTGAAAAAAGCTGGCGCAGAGATGAAACTGGAAGGAACAGAGAGGATTCAATGTGCAAAAGTGTGTGCCCACAGTCCTTAGCAGATATGGTCTAAATGGTCACAATGGTGGGGAGTGAAGTAACGACCTCAGCCCCAACTACAGCCAAGCCAATAGATCGGCCTTCTCATGGGGGATGGTGCAGAAAAGGGAACAGACAGGAAAGCTGAGTGACTGTGTGGGTCTCCTTCAAAGCCTCAGGAAAGTGGAAGGTCTACAATTCCCACTTCCATTCTTGGACCACACTATCTCCATCTGCAATCTCTCTCCCTACCCCACATTCTCATCTCTGCAGATCCAAACCCTACCCATAAATTAAGGTTCTATTAAAGTATTTCCCAGCTCAGGTCAGCTCTATGGCCTGGATGGTTGAGGCAGCCACATCCCACTTGGCTTATCATGTGGTTCAGTCCCAGACTCAGAAGCTTGAAAAACACACCAGACACGTTTATGTGCATGTCCAAAACCCTGACAGAAGGGAGAAATGGAGAAGCGATTGTAGCACGAACACGTCCTATTAGGGAGTGCCTTCTCCCATCTCTGTCTCTCTCTGATGAGCTTGTGCACTCTCTGGCAAATTTTAAAAAAAAAGGAAAAAATGTTTTCAGCCTGACTCTCTTCACAACACCTCCCTGGTGTCCCAGCATGAACTAATCTCAACTTCTTTGAACTGTCCGCATCTTTCACCTATTTGTACCTACTTTAAGGAATTTAACCCTTTCTGCCTTTTATTAACCATTTCTTTAAGTGTCTTGTCTTTTCTCAGAGTGAATCTCATAACTTGTTCTCTGAAGCCAGACACCAATACTGTCCTTTGCGGCAGAGGGCAGAGTCCTGCTGGGTGCGTCCTTGCAGGAATGAGCCATCTGTGCTTACAGGAGCTTTGCTTTCATCTTCCAGACTGGACCCGCGGGTCAGCGTGGGGCTGAGGGAGTAATTGGGGAATTAAGTTAACTGATTTTTGTGCATAGGGTACAGGCCACTTTGAGGTTGATTGCTGCATCATAATTTTTTTTTTTTAATTTTGTTATAGGGCACATGCGTTCACTGGAGGAGGTAGGGGTATGATAAATGCCCCCTGCCCTGGGAATTACGGTCACATGAAATCCCTTCTCCTCCATTCTTCTCTTGTGATTTTAGGCATACACACAGATGCACCAAGCATATTTTACAAACCACCAGTCCAAGACTCCAACTATGCAGTCAGCCATGTGTGATCCAGCCACCTGAACTACTGTGCCACCAGCTGGTCCCATAAATTGGTTTTAATCATTGAAGTTGTCATGGTCTGGAATTTATTTATGATCATTACTGCAAGTGCCCACGCTTATTTGGAAAACTGCCCAAAAACACTTGAGTATAATTAAAGGACTGCAATTCCCCCCTCCCCATAGGACATGTGTGCCTGCCAGAGAGAGACAGAGATGGAAAGAGAGAGAGAAAGCGAGAAATCACCACTCTGCAATCCCTAATCCTCCATTCTCCTCTTGGGATTTTGGGCACACAAACACATGCCCAGTGTGTTTTTCAGGCCACCAAGTCTGGGACTTGAACCATAGAGTCAGCCATGTGGGATCCAGCACCTTAACCACCATGCCACCTGTGATGACCCAAGATTGGGATCTTTCAAAAGAGGGAGAATAAATATAATAACCAAATCATCACAAAAATAAAGACTTGTAAATGTAATATTCTTGTAGTCTCAAAATGTAGTATAGAAATGTTTGAAGTGGAAAAGATAAACCTAAGTCATTGTTCTGGTGACACTGCCCATTCCACAGAGCCATGAATTCAAGGACCCTAGATGCTTACCACAGCAACTCCTTCCTTGCACCCCTACTCTCTGCCATGTTTAATTTTCCATGAGCACTCAATGCCCCTCAAGTGGCTTTCTGTGCGTAAGGTGTGTTGCTCCTTCTAGAAGGTGAGTTCCAGGGAGGCAGGAACCACCAGCCTTGTTCAGCTGTATCCTAGGATTTAGGACACTACCTGGCACATGGATGAACTATAGAAATACATGGGAACAAGTGAATGAAATGAGAGTTGTTATTCTTTAACTGGTTGCTCTAGCTGTCCTTCTTCTCTGTCATCTGCACATCTGATTTTGTGTTTTGTGTATAGTGGGGACCTACACTGCTTCCAAATGCTAGAAACAAAATTTTAGTCCTCAAACAGTTACTATTCCTATCTGTGAAAAACTTGCCACTGCTTAGTTTTTCCTCTCTTGTCGTGTCTTGCACTGTTAAATGAATGTGTGCTTTGGTGGTGGTGGTGCGGGGGGAGTTGTGGATTTGAGACTAAACATAAAAATAAACAAAGACATGCAAGTGAAGAAGAGCAGGGGTTGGGTGGTCTCGACTTCTCTGGTGGAGACAGCCACGTCCCCAAGCTGGTCCTAAATTTATTCTTTTAAAGGGCAGAAAATGGGGGAAAGGGAAAGTGGAATGTAAAGCCAATTGTTTTTAGACATAAGTCAGCTGAAGATACAAAGATGTCTGGCACCATGTAGTCCTACGTAAATTTTCTCTAATCTTCTTGGGCCAATTCTGATTAGCAAATGTGGCTTTTTTTTTTAACCCCATACTGCTTTGTAGTTTCAGAAACACAGATGCTGCTAGTGTATTCACATGTTAATGGCATTTATTGCCCTGCAAATGACTGCCTGTGGAACTGCGTTTCTGCAAGTGTCTAAAGATGTTTGCTCAGATTCGGGCTGCTCCCTACATATCCCGTCTCCCCCTTCATCTCTCTCTCTCACACATATGTGAGCATATATGCATATGTCCACTTTTTGCTCTTTCCTGAGACACATCTAGATCCATGTCAATCATAATCACATAATGAATAACATTCATTACCCATTAGGATTTGACAAACCTTGCTTGCTCTTAGGATTTCAACCAGCATGTCATAGACGGTGTCTCTGTTCTTCTCAAGGAAACCCTCACACTTATACTCCACCTATGCAGAGAAAGGGACTAATTAATTCCAAAGAGGTCAAAGCAGACAGTGTCTAAGTGCAAGTTTTATTTCTCTTTTTAAAAAGATTAACAAAGAGGTAGTTTCTTTTTATCACAGCAGCTTCATTTTACATAAGCTCAGAAAGTTGGAAATACAACCTTGTATTCAAAGAGCCAGGACCTCCCACTGCCTGGATTTCTCACTCATCTGCTGACCTCTCTATACTCACTTGTTCTCTCTGGCCACAGGTGACCAGTCATTCCATGTCATGTTTGCACTTCATACAAGAAGACCTGGGTGAGGGCTCCCTTTGCCTCTGAAGCCACCAGAATGAGTACAAAACTTGGTGGTGTCCATTGGGTTCAAATGAAAACATTTTCCTCAGTCAGCATAAATATAGCAGAAAGGAAAGGAAAACTATCCAGCTGACCAGTAAGGTTTTGAGGGCCACCAAGCCTCAGAGTCATATTTAGAGAGAATAAATGTTTGCACCACTGGGATGTGGTCTAGATAATCTCTCTGTGCACCCTTTCTGATTAGTAGAGCTTCTCGAATCCCTCAGCCGATTTTATCTATATCTATGTCTATATTTATATCTGTATCTATACCTATCTAATCTATCTATATCTATATCTCCAGGGTGGTTGCTTAAACATTAAACATATAAAAATGGGTTGTATATTTTAATATGTATAGATATGTATTTTTCACAAATTAAAAATGCATTAAAATTAATTATTGACTACAATGAAACAAGCTTTTGGGGGTCTGGGACCAGGAGACAGAGAGGGTTCCCTGGGCATGAACTCGCATTGTCCCTGGGTAAGGAAGGGTCCCTGCTGGTGGGTTAGGAACCAGGAGCACTGGCTATTTGTACACATTCCCTGGTGGATGAAGTGAATGTGTTACTGGACAGTATTATTCTAGGATGGTGGTGTGAGTCACTAGTAAAAACCAGGCAAAGGGGGAGCAACAGATGGTGAAATGCTTATATCGCTGGACTCCCACATAGACAACTGCAGTTTGTGTCGCATTATCCAGTGGCTTAAAATTCACACTGGGCACATGTGTGTGTGTACCCAAGATCCCATTAAAAAGTATGGAGGAGAAGGGATTGTGGCGTAGCCATCCTCTTGAGGGTTTATTTCTTGCTTTCTGTCTGTCTCTTTGGCAAGCGCACACACCCCATAGCAAACATATCTCTTAAAAAAAAAAAAACAGGAAAAGGAGCAACAAATCTAGCACTTTTCTGGTTCAAGGAGACTCTCTCTGGGGACAGTGTCACAGCAGCTTGGTCTCTCCATGGGGCACTCTGGGACCCAGGGCTGATGCATGGACTTGCTGCAGCTCTGTGTAGCTGTCTTGCTCTGATTTCACTGCCTTGTCTAATACGGCTGAGAACCTAATTTATCGCTTGGGAACCAGCAGTTAGCGTAATGGCTATGTCGCTGGGCTCCCACGTAGTCAACCGCGGTTCGTGTCCCGGACCCGGTGGCTTAAACTCACGCTAGGCATGTGCGCGTGCGGGCCCAAGATCCCGAGAGGAGAATGGAGGAGAAGGGATTGCGGCGTGACCATCCCCCCGGGGGTGATTTCTCGCTTTCTGTCTCTAATGTCTCTTTCTGTCTGGCGAGCGCACGCGCCCTATAGCAAAAATCTCTCCAAAAAAAAAAAAAAAAAAAAGAACCTAATTTATCCCTACAGCATGAGCAGTTCTTTCCACCAACCCACATTCACCCGAAACACTGTGCAATGTTTCTAAAGGGGGCTTCCTGAATGTGATAGGTGAGAGAATTTAACATATAGAAACTATACAAGGGGACTTCAAACAATTTGTGGAAAAATGGAATTAAAGTACGAATTTATTCTGATGCACAAGATCTTGAAATCCATGCATAGTTTTTTCATAAATATAAATTTCCCATGAACTTTTTGAAGATACTCCCCATATGCTATAAAGAGAAATCTTTGAAATAAAGTCTATATTTGCTTTTAATCAAGACCGTGCCCGTCCCCAACCCTCACAGGATAGAAAAAAAGAATGGATTGTGGCGTGACCACACCCCATTGGATGTGCTGGTTCCCTCTTCCTGTTTCTCTGTCTCTTCCTCTCTCTCTGTTGCTCCATCTCTGATGAGCACATGACCCTCTGGGAAAAAAGTTTAAAAAAAAAATAGGAGGTTCATGAATTCATAGTAAATCTGAAATCAGAAACGAGGACCACCAACATGGAGTTATCTTTAAAGCAGTACCATGGAAACTCATGGTGGGAAAACAAATAAGAATTGTTCAGCACACAGACAGGCGTAGTACGACTCCATCAAAGCCACACGCTAAGAGTGACTTGAATCTGACAGGACGATGGCTGGCCTGCCTCATCCTCTGGAAGCTGCTGGCCTGGGGTAGACGGACTCATCCAGGACCTTCGGATACCTTATCAGCAAAGTGCTGGATGATGAAGGATGTGTTGGACATTCTAGGCTTCTCAAACAAGGCGTTCTTGTTGACAAAGTTATTATACAGCTTTTGAAGCCAGTTTTCATCAGTTCCGTGTGGTAACTGGAAAAGAGAAGCAAACCAAATAGCAAATAAGAAAGCACCAATAGAGGCGAGGCAGAGTGCTGATTCTAAGAATCCAGGACAATCCAGGTACCTCAGTGTACACTGCCGGAGGTGTGAGGGCTCGCCTTCCCTTTCCTTAAACAGCTCTAGGCCTGAGTGTGTCCTTGATCACAGTCTTCAGCTCTAGGCTATTAATGGATCATAACAACTGTATATATATTTAGAGGGCATTAGGGAGACATGTATGTGGATATGTAAGTGTTCTTTTAGAACATTTTATATTAAAAGGAAATGGCCATAAAATAACTTAAGAAAAAGAATTTTATTTCTCCAAAATGGATGGTATTTTATTCTTTCTGCCAAAGAAGTCTAAAGGTTCAGGGAAAGCCCAGAATGGGGGATCTTTCATGGTTATATGGCCATGACCTTCTCACAGCTGAGTGGGAAACGACACCTGAATGCAAGCCTCCCCACCCTCTGCCCAGGAAAAGCCTGTCTTCTGTTTGCTGCCCAGTGAACTGACTCCTTGAACCCAGATCTTATCTCCTCGAACTAAGCTAGTCGGACAACTTGTTCTTGGTACTAGTGATTCAGAAACCATCAATTAAATTCAGCCCAGAACCACTGAACTGAATATCCCACGTGTCTAAATGGTGAGCCTGGTCACTTGGGAAATGCCAAGCTAAAGGGGGGGTGAGTACTTTCTACCTTGGTCTCTGCACCCCCAATAGATCATTCCAGAGTCCCGGGCCCTGCTTCTTTTTAATTCTACTGTGGGGGTGAAGCCCATGTGGCACCAGGAAGAATAATCTGTGAGAGCCACAGAACTGAAAATTCTCAGGAGAAAACACCAATAAGTAAGACTTTAACATTGTAATGATTATTTTTATACAAATAAATCTTTGGAATAGAAACAAATTCCATGTTTGGGCCTCAAAACATATCCTTTAAACCAAAATGTGTCCTCTCCTGGGGATTATTTGATTTCTGTGGCCCATGGTGGACACTGCCAGGCTGACCCACCACAAATTTACACCTCCCAGAGGGAAGGAACGATAAACTCCTGGAGATCTTTTCTCTCAAATCACACGGTTTTGCTTTTTTGAGGTACATCCTAATGACGCCCAAGAACCCGGAAGTGAACACCCAGAGTGGAGTCACTGCAGTTTCCCCGCCCTCTCTACATATACTGGGGCAGAGTCAAAGGTCATCTTCTTGCTGGACATTACCTAGGGCGCCGTGCGTGTCACCCAAGGGTGGTACACACGTGCTGAGGGTGGGAGCTCTCCTGGTCCTCTGAGGTCCTTGCAAGGACTATAGTTCCAGCATTAATTTCCAACCAACTGGGCACACATCAAGACTTTGCAAATGAGTTTTAAAAAGTCATTCTGCAATCTGGCCACCTGCACTACTCAGAGCTTGGAAAAACAGTAATGTTGAAAAGTTACCAAACATTCTTCATCCAGTAACTCCAAGATGCCCATCTTTGCTTCAATCAGGTCAATAACTGGTTGATTATCGTAAAAATCTATCAGAGTCCAAGGGATATCTTCCTTCATGTATTCTTCTTGTTCAAGTTTAAAGACATGCTGGGAACCCACAGTAACACAGAACGCAGAGATTAAAGCGTGCGTGCAGGAGCGGGGCCTGGAACACACAGGCGCCTGGCTGACTTGCAACGCACGGTTCAGACACAAGACCCTGTGCCACAGGCAGCCCCACCCGGCATCAGGGCCGTGGATCGAGGTCCTCCCATGGGTCTCGCGCTCATCCTCCCCTGGCCTAAGCGGGTCCCGCCTCCCAGGAGAAAGGCCTGGCCAGCCTGTTTCTGCCAGCACTGCTGGTACGCCCTGTGCGCCTTGAGCCTCTCTGCTCACGGCCGCCTTGCTGCTGCTACCCAAGGATGGACCCAGCCTCTCTGGCTTAGAGCAACCTGATGGGGGCTGGGCCATGGGGGGGGGGGGTGGGGCAGTCATCTGGGAAGACTGGCTGTGGGGCCATGGAGATCTTTGTTCACTACTTGTTCAGGCCAAGAGGGATTCAGGACGGTGTCTGAGGCTCAGCTCAGGCTTCACTGGAGGACGAAGTAAAGTCTGGCTGGCAGGTGGGAGTGGGGGGGTAGGGGAGGAGCAGCCTGGTGGGGAGGGCCGGCTACTGGACAGGTGGCTGAGAAAGGCACCTGGTACAGGCTAGAGGGGACTCGTGACAGGGATATGAGGAGGCTGCAGAAGATGGCGGGGCCAGATCACACAAGCCTTCCCGTCCTCCCTAGGGCATTCAGCACTATGGCCTTTTCCTAGAGGCAGCTCAGTCTGCTGAGGGGTGCATGGGGGAAGGTCATGGTGAGACCTGAGGGTGGCTTGGTAGGGACAGGACAGGTGTCTGGGACACTGTGGGAGCTTAACCGCAGTCTCCAGGAACAGGGGGGAAGAGAAGGCTAGGATGACCATCAGGATCCGAGGCGGCTCCACAGGAAAAGGACCATGGCCGGCATGCGGCAGGAAAGGAAGGGGGCTGCTCCCTTCTACACTCGGTACCACCGGGCCCCTGGGGCATCAGGCACAGGCAGTGAGACGCGTGGGACTGGAGATGGAGCTGGGGAGCCTGGCTAAGCTGATGGGCTCCCGTCTGAAGGTAGGACTCCTAGGATAGACCACGTACGCACACACAGACACACAGACACACACACACACACACAGACCAAACCAAAACAAGGAGAGGAAAAAGGAGGAGGAGGAGGGCGCAGAAGAGAAGGAAGAGCAGGAGAGGAAAGGGAA